CTTTGGCAAAGTCCACCACCAGAAATGAATTCTGGAGATGGAACTTGATAGGAAATCTGTTTGGTTTTTTTTTTTTTGTGTGTGTGTGTACGTCTCTACACTGTGAGAACTATAAGTATTGGCAAGGAAGAATCAGTGACAATCCAGTAACTTCTGCAGTAACCTGAGGTTTGCAATGAAATAAGCCCCAAAGCCACTATTAAATGTATTTTAAAATGAAGAAGGCGGGTTTCTAAAAATGAAACACGAATTTAATGCTGATTCTGCACAGCGTGGCCTAAGCAGGCAAATGTTCTGATACATCAAGTCACCAGAAAAGGAGGATTTCTAAGTAGCTGCCACAAAATAATAGTATATTGATCAAGTGAGAGGGTAAGTGTGAAGAAGGCAGGGGATGGCAGGTCTTTATTTTACCTGTGAGACAGAATTGATATCCCTAACCTGATGTTTCTGCCTTTGGGATAGGAGGCTGTGGGTTTCTCTGCCCAGGAAGCTTGGATGTGCCCCAGGACATCCCCGGGAGTGTGTGGGCTGTGTGCCTGCCTGTCCCCTGGGAGCCAAGTGTGGAGATGTGTCCCTGTGCTCTGAGGCCAGCTGTTGCAGCAGGACGGCTCCTCTCTGCTGTTAGCAGCCTCTTCCTGTGAGCACAAGCACTTAAGCAAACCCCCAGCCTCACGCTTGCTGGGATTTGCCCAGATCCACTTTTAAGGGAAAGCAGCAGCTGAGGATGTGAGAAATTGCTGGCATCTGCCCTGTCGGGTGTGCGGCTCCTGGGAGTGTGGGGCTGCCTTCTTCCTGGGGGTGAATCCTGCAGCAGGGGAGAGGCATTGTGAGTGGGAAGAGGGCTTCAGGTTTCATCAGGCCCCAAAAATCTAGCCAAGGAGAAGCCTTTTGTTGGCTGCGCTGCTCTGTTAATCCTGTCGCTCATGGAAACACGGCCTTGGGTCCACTTGCTTGATGCTTGCCTGGTTTTGGAAAAGCTTTATAAAGATACAGGTACTGGCCAACACAAAACTTTACGCATTTGAGCCAGATTCAGTTGATTTAAGAAATGGAGGTGTGTGTGTTTTTGTTTTCTCTTCTGGAGCATTGATGTGATTCATTCTGACACTTTTGAAATGAATTACGTTGTTTTTCCAGGCTTGGGTCACAGAGATGGATACTGATTGCAGCACCAGAGTGGAAAGTCTGTGATCCCTCTGCAATTCCTTTTAAGTCTCTGCCTTTTTGATCTAGTCTGAACAAGGGTGGCTCTGCCTGAGGATTGTATATAGCTCAGGAAGCTGGTTGCTCCTTTTGGAGGAGGGAGGTGCTGGCTTAAATTCCAGCACCAGAATAGGAGGCTGGATCTCGCTGATGTTGGGCAGTGAGCGAGCTACAGAGCTGTTGGATGCTCCCTTTGAGCCTCTTGCATTTTACTGTCTAAAATTCTTGAAAATGCAATTAGTTTGGTCTCATTTTGCTGTCCCATACCCGGTTATCATCTATCACTTCAGCTGTCTGGCATGCTCTTAGTTTCCTGTGATGAACTCCTGTCTGACACCTGTTGCTACTGAGTATTTGCTGCATTCCTCCAGTGAAGGTTGGGGGGCTGCAATGTCAGCAGGAGAAGCCATAAGCATACATGTACCATTTGGCAAGCGTGGGGCTTTGAAAAACACGGCAACAGTTTGAAGCTGTGCCCAGGTACAACCACCTATTGTATTCCATCTCTAAGTGGGAGGTGATCCCATTACCCAAAGCCACAGAACCTACAAATGGGTCCAGGGAGAACCCTGCTGAAACGAAACAAGGGAATTCACAACTAACACACTGGAGTCGTGTTTTTTCCTGCACCAGTGAGGTTGTGGAACTCTTTGCCAGGGGAACTGCTTGGGGACAAGAATGGAACCAGGTGCAGAAAGCAACTGGCCTGTTAGGCAGTTATTGGAGTTACTCAAATTCATAGCGAGTTTGAGGGAGTAAATATTCCATTTCACCATGCATTCTTCTCCATCAAGATGCTGCAGAGGCTCTTGTGCTCTCTTCAACAGGTGATCACTACCTTGGTCAGCCCACTTGTCTGCTTTGATTCTCCCATGTTTCACTGTGTGTTTAAGGTAACAAACCAGAGATCTGCTGCCGGCAAATTATCAAGGTGTTCTCTTCAGGCAGCAATTCTGACTGTGTACAACCTAATTATTCTAAAGCATCTAAATATTCTATCAGTGATTTGGCGTTGTCAGTGTGAGGCGCTTTCGATACAGGGAAGCAGAGCTGGTTCCAAAGCGTTGGCAGCTCTGGGACACAAGTTTCTGTGGAAGAACTGCACAATAAATGGTCAGGTCAGCATGTTTGGGGCTGTCTTGGTCAAATGAGGTCCTCTGTGAGTTTCTCAGTCTAGACATGTAGCTGTGCATTTCTGTTAGCTTTTGTCTACAGCTCAGAAAGGAGAGCGAGTCTTCCCAAAAGCTCTTTAAGACAAAAGGTTCCCCTGTCCTTGGATAGGCAGGGGGAAGTGACTGCAGGAGTGTGACCACTCCTCGGTGCTGGATTTACAGCTGGTGGGAGATGAGGTGTCTGCCTAACACCAGGGCTGACTTATGGGCGCAAGTGAAGGGCTCTGCCAACCTGAGGGAGACAGGGGGTATGCTTAAGGAGGAAGGATTTGCCTTTTGGCTCTTCCAAGTGTGGCGTGAGGCACAGATAGGCTGAACACAGGGTATCAGTAGTGCAGGCTGAAGTCAAATGACTTCAGAGGAGCAGGCAAGGGAATGAATATCTGAAAACACAAGTCTGATGTGGAGGGTTTGGTTACGGGAGGGCTGAGAGAGCACGTTTGCCCTTTACCTGCATGGGAAATGTTTGAGAAAGGCTGGTGGAAGTGTGTGTACATGCACCCTGAGCTGGGAGGGAGGGGAGGCAGCAACTGGTGTGCCACATATAGCCTCTGGCTGACTTAGCACTTGTGCCTGGTTGCCCTCCTGCTCAAGGTTTTCTAATTCTGTCCCAGACCATGTCAACGTCCTCCAGCAAGCAGCAGTGAGACATACAAGGCATTCCTCGGAGCCCTGAGCATCTCCATCCCCCTTGAACAGCAGGAGAGCTGCTGGGGGGGAAGAAGCAGCCCCCTGGAGGTGTTGGTGGCTCTGCACTGCGTTCAGCTCACGTTCAGCCTGTTAGAAACCCTCCTGATATCACTATTCTCCAGGGAAGAAGTCAAGTTGCCCAAGCACTTTTTGTAGTTTGCTTTCCACTGCCCCATAAAAAAACCTGATTGTTTTTGACCTTTATTTACCCTGTGGTTGTACAAGCATTGGCTTGTAGGTTTCAGAGTGACTCTGAAATGCAAATGCCTTGGAAAAATGCATCCGAAATATAGGTGAGCAGCACTCTCAGTATATCAAATCCTCAACAGGCCTCCTTACCATAGGCCCTGAGGAATGCTGTGTGGTTTTAGATGTGAAGATTAAACACACTATCATATTCAGGTCCTGGTGCACTCTCACACACAGTGCTGTGAAAACAATCTGTATGGTGGTTGGCTGGATGCAAATGAGCATCAAGCATTTGAAGAGCACTTTCTTTCTCATAAATCACTCAGCCTCTGAGCATCCTGTGTCTCTTAGCGTATTTATTGCTACCTTCAAAGTAGCTCTGGTGGAGAATTGACATGGGGAGGCAGTGGTGACATTTTGCTTGGGGAGTCTGGGGATCTGAGACTATTCCATGTCTGGGCAAGGCATGCCCTGGAGGCAGCGCAGCTGTAGCAGCTCAGTGGAGTCTACACTGTGCCTTTTTGTCTGGCCTTCTGGCCAGCATTGTCACCAGCTTGGTGCCTATGGACTTGCTTCCTCTTGGAGCATCAGCTGATGTTTTCTGATGACACCGCATCCTCTTACCCCAGCAGGATTTTTGTTCCCACTGTCTGACTGCAGCTGGGAAGGAGATCTCCAGGCAGCAGGTAAAGGAGCCTTACCTCAGAAATGTCACAAGAGGATGATGTGTGCTGCATGGTGACCTTAACGGCAGCAGGGAGGCTCAGCAACCCATTGTAGAGCTGTCTGGGGGACAGAGCATGCACTGAGCTGCTTTTGTCCCAGCACTGCCACATGCCCTCTCCTGGACACTCCTGACTAAGCCACTTAAAGCTATCTGTGATGGAACTTGGCCTTTGCGTTGAGCTCATAGGACTTCTGCCTTCCTTCTGCATGAGAGAACAGCCCTTGGTAAGGTCCTGAAGTCATCACGGCGAAGCTGTGAGCCTGTTTTTTGGGGAGCAAGAATGTATATGTGCGCAATGCCTCTCCTCCAGGATGTCAAATAGCTTTGCTGGCCTTCTTTAAATAGCCTGCTGGTGCTGTCCCCCTTATTTAGTTGTAGGGAGAGAAGTGACACAGTGATGCTCAAGAATGTCACTTTGCTTCTCGTGTGACCGATGAGATCAGAGGTTGTTAGCAGGAGATTCACGATGACCCTCACTGGAAGCGTGGCTGGGGGGACCCTGTGGCCATGGGGGCACTTCCAGCATGAAGAAAGCTTTGTGGGAGGGCAGTTGGCAGTCAGTGCAAGCTGCCTCTGCCTCTACTTAGAGCACTCTGACTATTGCATTGAAAGCTGCTGCTTTCTGTAAGATGCACGTATTCAGGGCTGTGGCAGTTCACCTGCAGAGTGCGGTAGGAGCAAGGTCTCAGTCTGAACCACTTCTGCTCAAATAGGCAGCCCCAAGGTTTTTTTCTTGCTTATTAAACTTCTGTCAAAGGCTGTTGCTTTGCAACATGAGATGGCTTCAGAGCTGCCAGTGAGTGACTGATGACATGCTTCATGGAGACTGTTATCTCCAGAGGTAGTTCAGAAATGCCTGTTATCTTAAAATATTTTTGTCCTAAACTCATCTTCCCTGGGCAGCTTCATTATGTCAGTAGAGCTTCAGCAGTTGGTGGTGGGATGCACATTTGCAGGTGCAACTTTTATTTTTAACCCTTTTCCTTGTAAGTTTTTCTTCCTTTTTTTTTCCCTAGAGCCATTTCAAACCATGCGAGTGAGAACACAAGTGCAGCTGGACCTGGAGTGCCACAACTGATTTAGATGAACGATTGTGGAAAGAGCTATTTGAGAAGTCAATGGTAAGTACATTGAAGAAGTCATTCCTTCTGTAGTTTTGAGGACTCCCAAGTAAATGGGTGACAGACTGGGTGATGGAAGACATTGCTGCCACGTCCACATGCAAGAGTATCCTGGCACATACTCCAGGTCTACGACTTCCTTAAAACAGTTGTACCACCTTTCTTTTTTTTTTGCTTGGAAATGGCCACATAGGAATTATTTATTCCTCCCTTCTGGCAAACGAATTTTAGTTTCTGGAGTTTTCAAGGATGGGTAAAGATGACTATTTGAAATCTGGACCATTTTGGTGAACTAGTAGACCACCAGGTATTTTTATGTCCTGAAGCTTCATCGTTGGTTCTCATCAGATACTTTGAAAAAAAAATGTGTCAAGTGAATAGATCTGCTGAAGACAGTTGCCAAAGGATGTAAGACGTTTCAACTAAATTGAATCAAATTAGAAATTCAAGTGACTGCTCTGTAGTGTTTTTTTCTTTATTCAGGTTAAGGGTATTATGGATCCAAGTTGAGGGAGGGAAGATTTAGGTTGGATGTTAGGGGGAAGTTCTTCACAAGGAGAGTGGTTAGGCCCTGGAACGGGCTGCCCAGGGAGGTTGTGGATGCCCCGTCCTTGGACGTGTTCAAGGCCAGGTTGGACGGGGTCCTGGGCAACCTGATCTGAAGGTGTATGTTTGGTGGCCCTGCTAGGCAGGGGGGTTGGAACTACATGATCCTTGAGGTCTCTTCCAACCCAGGTGATTCTGTGATTCTGTGCATTATCCACAGAGGTAGGAATTGAGTCATTTTTGCCAAATCCAAACATGCTTTCATCTCTCGTGTGCAGATGAAATGCTGCCTGCTGGTATTTACCTGCTTTTTTGATTGATATTCTGTGATACCTGCACAGTCCTGGGAGACCAGAATGTCGGTGATGTTTAGCAACCAATGTAATGAAATGAAGCACAGGTAGTTTCAACGCAAAGGATCTTCCTCTACATTTGTAATCTCAAATGCCTCATAGCTTTAGCCTCCCCAGGGGGATGATAGGATGTTCCCTGGCAGGCTTCGTGCTTTGAGACATGGGATCCACATGATCCGTTTTGTCCCCAGGTGCTGTGTGGAGCATTTCTGGCTGGCAGGCATTGGCCACAGTTTCATTTTGGCTCCTCTTTATCCGTGACGTGTTATCTGGCAGAATTCCTGCGGCATGTGGAGTTGGGTCTCTTTCCTTGTAGATTTCTAAAGTAAACAATTTAGCTGAATGTTTGAATACTTCTGACTAGCAATAGCACCAAGCCATATGCGCTGCGGTGACTTGAAGCCAGTGCTTCTCTTCCAGAAACTGCTATGAATTAATTTTGTGTGTTTGATTTGCCATTGTGAATCTTACACACAGATGATGATTGAAGGCACTTCCTAAATTATTCTCTTACTGTGTTTATGTGAATTGAATTGGCAGGGTCAAGGAGCTCGCTTAGAATCAAGTTATAACCTTTGGGGGACTTGGCATAGGGTTTCCTGACTTCTGTGATGGTGCATAGGATTTCATACTATGATAAAATCCTGTTGAAATAATGGAGCATTTTGAAAATCAAAGCATCTGGAAATCTGTCGCTATGGGTGGAACTTGGATCTAACCTTCACACAGTTGGATCTATCTCTGAAGGGATAGGAAGTACCGTGTTGTTAACCTCCAGCCAGTGCCTCCCTCCTCCCATGTTCAATGTCAGTTTAATACAGCTTCTGTAGGATAGGTTGGAGAGGGGGACAGCTCTATATTTACAACTGCCATACTTACCAGCCTGGGAGGTATGAGTTCCATCTCTGTGCCTGCTGCATTTGGTATTTGATAGGAGTTAGTGCTGGGAGTATCTCTTCCATTTGTACTTCTTATGATCATAAATTGAGACTCTAACCCGTTTTTTATCATGAACTAGCCCTAGGGCTTGTGCTCCTTTCGACCATGGCTTTGGAGATATTCCCTGAGGAAGTTTCCAGTGTGGCTGTGGGCCCTGCTGGGTTTTTTAATTTGCATTGCTTTCTTTCCTTTTTCTCCTTTAAACTTTTTCCAGTCGTCTTTCAGTTGTCATTGTTGGCGGTGAGGTTTTTATCTCCCCTTTTGAAAGCTTCAATTTCCACAAAGATTTTATATGGTGTTGTTATCATTGTAAGAATGTCAACAGTAACTGTAATCAAGTTGGTCTGCTGTGGACTTCAATGTTTAATGCAAGTATTCTTCTTGCCCTTGGCTGCTACCCTTGGCTTTCCTCCCTGAGGGTGCTCAGCACTGAGCAGTATCCCCGATGCATTGATTTAGTAGATCTACCACCTGCACAACTGGAGTTAAGAACAGCCATTCCCCAATTCCTAATTAACTTGACAAGTCCTACAGCCCTGTCTCTCCAGAGGGGAGTAGAAACCCAAAGCCACAGCACAGTTGTGAGTGCTGCTCTCCTGAGCTCGCGCGCTTGCCACAGCTGGGGATTAGACAGCTGAAGAAAATAGTGCAGCAAAAAGTGGCTCTGGCAGCTCTTGGGATGAGATGACATCTGCCAGGAGAAACGTGGTTTTGGCAGCTTCCACAGCTGAGGGTTGTTTTCCCCATAGTGCACTTGTGCAGACCTGCTTTCCCTGTCATCCTTTGCTCAGTAACGAGGATGGTATTTGGTCTTCACTGGCCAGAGATTTCAGCAGTTGTGAGTGACTTTCTGAGACCAATTTTGCTTTTCTTTTTTTCTTCTCCCTTTTCTCCATTTAGTAAAAAAATAGCAGCCACCTTTCATGGATTTTTGTATTGAACGTCTGTCCTCCTACTCAGGGTGTCTCAAATCACTTCACTTTGGAAATCTGTTACCATGGATGGGTTTTCAAATGGTGAGCAACAGCTGCCTCTGCTCCACGTGATGTTTCTGAGGCCACACAAACATGTAGTATGCTGTTCATTGTGAGGGTTCAAAAAGAAAGAACGTAATGGGAAACAACCATATGGGGAAGATAAAAACCAAGAGGTGGATGGCCATGCTTTCTGGTAGGTGGGTTCAAGGCACGGGGAGAGCTGGGAAATTGTTTGAACAAGAGTGTGGTACCCTGCTCATTGAAATGCTATCACCTCTGAAGGCTTGGATGTTGGAATGGTTTATCTGTGGCCCGGCACACCTTTCCTTTCCTTTCTGAGCACAGGGGGCCTGAGTTACCATCCCAGAGCTTAACAGCATGCGCTCATCCCTTTGGAAAGCACAGATGGAGAACCTGCTGCTTCTAGCTCAGTTTAAGAAGGTCACAATTCAGTCTGGTTTCCAGTTCCGTTTTGGATCAGAGGAGACCCCCGGTACGCCTTATTTCTATTCGTATCTTATTTTTTGCATGTATTGATGTTGCTGCCTTCAGTATGTTCCTGAAGGACAAAGTTTGCTTTCCCGCGGCCGTCACAAACTGCCGTTTGGATTTTTCTCTCTCGCCTTTTCTCTCAGCCTGAATTTCATGCCCATGCAGAGCTCCTAGTCCTGTGTCACATCTAAAGGTTACGTCCAGTGCTTTAGCTGGAGCTGCAGGAGACGTGCCCAGCAGCCAGCCAGGGTGCCTGCCCCGCTGTAGAGTAGATGGCCAAGAGATCCCTGCTGTTTTTAATAGCTCTCTGACACTCTTGGCCAGCAAACGTGGCACATTTCATTATAACTCAGTTTCACACAGGCAGGTGACCTTTGCGGTGATGAAGTTAAGCATCTCAGCCTTTTGCCATCTTTTTAAAGAGCTGGTGGCAGTTTCCTTGCTGCTGGGCTGTGCATCCTCAGAGTTCATCCAGGGCATAGGCTTACGTGCTGGCGGGGGGCAGGGTCCTGATCCACTTCATAACGAATCACACTCTGCCTCTGCTCAGTTCCCTGGACTTAGCTTCACAGTGCACATCTTCTGTGAGCTTCCAGTGCTGGGCAGCTCAGGGTTGCCTGCTCAATTTCAGGATGTGGGAGAAAAAACAAGCAGTGAAGTGACAAATGAGTTGTTGGAGGAGTCCCAGCTTGGAATTTGCAGCCAGGGGAAGGAGACCTGTCTGCTGAGCCTCAGCCCAAGGGAGACACGTCCACTGAAATATGTAAGATGATCCTAGGGGTCTTCTGCAGCCTTCATGATTCTATGCTTCTGTGCTCTCAGATGTCACCTCCAACTTGTCTGAGTTTCTTCCCTTTGGATGGAGTTCCGATGTGTGGAGAATTGTTGGTGCATCACATTGAGACTTCCTAGGCTTGAATCCAATCTGATTCTCCCAGTTTTAAGGGAGCCCCCCAGGTTACCTTCAATAGGAGTTTGAGATAGCTCCAATTCAGATCAAGAGCCATAGCAGGATGGCAGGTGCAGCTTCCATCACCTGAAGTTTCTCGAGGTTTCAGTTTGTCTGCACGAACTTTTTGATGTGTGTCAGTCTGTGTATAACTCTGGTACAGCCCTCATTTCTGCTGTCTGTGTCCTGCAGAGACACATCTTCCACTGGAGATGTGGAGGTTCTGGGGTTACACACGTCGTATTTAAATCTTACAGCGAGGAAAGCAAGGAGGGAATACCAAAATGTTTCTTATGAGGAATGTCTCTTCATTCCTCCCTCACTGAAATAGCCCATCACAAATCAGGGAAGTAAGTACTAAAAGCATTGCTCCTCTCTTTCACAAAGCAGTAATTCAACACTCGCTCATACAACACAGAGCCAGTGGTGCTCAGTGGTGCTGTGGTCTCCCCCTCGCTGGTGGGAGCTTGCCTTAAAGGAGAGGCAGTTGTAATAAAACTCAGCCAAATGGTGGAAACATGATCAACTCCTCGACCCGATCGGAGCCAGCAGCCGCTGAGTGGAACATTTGCTCTTGCTCTGTGTGCAGCTGCGTGCTGTAGTGTAACTATTTATGGGCTAGACTCCAATGGGATTTATGGACTATGAAACACTACCAACAGATTTGATTACTGCCTGAGATGACTGCAAATGCTGCAGCAAACTGCAACAGCCGCAAAATGAGGGCAGTCTGACGTGTGTCCTGCCGGTGAGAAATTCCCCAGCAGTGAGAGGATGGAGCTAAATGGCTCCACACAGGCGCAAGATTATGTTGCCTTCTTAAGGCTTCTGCAGTTGTTTTGAGCACCTCTGGGCCTCCTCTGTCACTGGTTACCTTCTTCACTGAGAGCGAGCTGAGCTGCATCTTGTCATCCACACAGGGTGTAAATGGCATGGTGACTGTAGAATGGCCTGAGTTGAAAAGGACCACGATGATCATCTTGTTTCAACCTCCTGCTATGTGCAGAGTCGCCAACCAGCAGACCAGGCTGCCCAGAGCCACGTCCAGCCTGGCTTTGGATGCCTGCAGGGATGGGGCATCCACAGCCTCCTTGGGCAACCTGTTCCAGTGCCTCACCATCCTCACACTGGGTCCATTCAGAACAGTGTTGTGATTTATAACCAAATCTGTTGTATTTTCTCCCAGGAAGGGGTGGAGGAAATGCACGGCATCTGAGGATGCTGAGCTGGCTGTGAGATTTCGTGTTTGGCACAGAATGGTAAAATCAAATGGCTCTTGTATCCCAGTTGGATGCTATATGAGGTGCTTTATTCCTCTTCTCCCATCTGCTGGGACCGCTTCAAATCTAGATTACCCTAATATTGAGTATGAGCCTGGTTTTTGGGCTCTCCCAGGATGTTTTTGTCCAAGAGCTGGAGAGAGGGTGCAGTTTTCCTTGGGCTAAGAAAGTTTTGCCTTGATCTCACACTGTATTTTGCTTCCCCCTTGCTGCAATACAGTGAACTGGAGTCCTGAAATGACCCAGAGTAAAAGCTACTACTCTTCTTCTTCCTCAAAAAGAGCAGCACGAAGGCAGCAGAAACAGGTGGGGGCAGAGATAAAACAGAAGGACCTTCAAACAGCTTTGCCACAGGAGAAGGCAGTAGAGACCACCACACTAGGAGTGAAAGCTGGCTTGAGCAGTAGTTGGGAATACAGAGCCTTGTGGGTGATGCAGAAACAGGCTCTGCCTTAAATCAGCAACTATATCAACAGCCAGTTTGTCCTGTTCTCCCCTGAACAGCTTCTAAGGGAGCAGTTTTGATGCTGGGATACTAGAAACCCTGCACAACCCAGTGATGTGATGGTTTTCTCCAGGTCTCAGAGCAGCTGTCCAGATCTTCACGCTCACCTCTGCTTTCAGAGGTAAGTTGCACCAGCGGGGTGGTACTGGGTTGGTGATATTTGTCTCCAGACACCAAATGCCACATTCACAGTGTCTCAGCCAGCCTCACTGCTCTCCACCTCACCACTGTCTGCACAAAGCATTGCCTGAACCAGACAGTGTTTCTTCTGCAATAGCAGCCTATGTAATTCTCACTCGGGAGCCAGGAAGAAAGCTCTCTGAAGCCCTTAGGCAAATGCAGGGGGTGTATGAGGGATATAAATATGTTTGTGTTAGAGTGTTTTTGTGTCTGTTTCCAGCTTGTGGCAAAGAGGTATTTGATGGGTGCTATCCTGCTGCTGTCTGAATGATGGAAGGGTTTGCCTGTTCTTTTCAAAAAGGAAAACAAAACAAAATAACAACAACAAAAAACCAATTCTACCTGTCATGTATTCTACCTGTATTATCATTAAGATCCTTTAATTAATATACTCAGGCTTGCTTTTAAGGTCAGGCACAGACAAATCCAGTAGGTGGGCCCGAAATGTGATCAGCCATTCAAAGTTAATTAAACTCTGCCTGACTCCTACGTTCAGCTGTTGTAGAAGGGCTGGATCCTGAACTGCCCTACATCAGCTTAATGCCATGGGCTTTACACAGATCAGGCATTGGCTCCAGATCTGACCAGTGTAGAGGACTTTTCCAGAACTGAGAAAAGTAAAGCTAAGGATAAAAACAAAACTACCACCTTCTCCTCAAAAAGAGAAAGGGGAGAAAAAAAACCAAGTATGCAGAAGGTATAAAGCATCTTTTTGATTGATTCAGGAAGTTAACAGTCACTGAAGCAATCTTCTGAGATTCAGCTGTAATCCAGAAATCTATGCTTGTACCTCTTGCCAAGGTTAATGAGTTCCATGAGTTAAAAGGCCCAGCCGTGAAGATGCTGAAGCATCCACATGTGCCAGCTATGATACTGTATCTGGAGGTTTGAATCTGCACTGGTCTGAGCGCTGAGCAATTTTCCATCTGGGTTGACAGTGAGTTTGGAAGCTAACACTGCACACTGTGAGCCCAGCGAGCCCCTCCAAAACCCACTGGCCTGAAAATCCCTGTCATTTCAGACACTACTGGGCAACAATTTTTAGCCTGCCAGTTGACTCGTTCAATCCAGTATCACTTTGCTGGAGTTTGCACTGCGCTTGGCTCTTGGATTCCGGTACTCACCGCAAGGCAGAGCACCAGATTGTGGAAGCTGGTAACAGTAGTTGGGAGAACTTCATTCCGAAGGTGTATAATGGTGCATTTGAGTTTGCATAGTGAAATTGTGAACCCGCTTCCAGCAGAGTTGCAGCAGCCACCCGATTTGCCTGGAGCAGGTATGTCTGAGGTCGTGGTTTCATGTTGCATTGAAAATTTGAGCAAGCACAAACTAAGCAGGGTGACAGCGAATTTAAGCTGTGGTTTTCATTTATTTTTGAGGAGTATGAGGCATGATTCTGTGATACGGGGCACCCGAGAACATTTCAGCAACTTTACCATTGTGGTGGTGGTAGCACACCTTTATTTATTCAAACATGAATTGTGGTCACAAAATGAGGAAAAAAAGAAACAAAGGAAGCTTGTTCACTGTCATGTTTTATTGAACAGTGCTCCACCTGACAGTCCTGCACCCCTCCTGGTGATTTTCTGATGTGTGTATGAACCCTGGGCCACAGTGCTGCCCCATTAGGCCACACAAACCACCTCCTCTACAAAGCAGTGCCCAGGAGAAATCCAGGCTCAGACCGGTGTCCCCCCTCTGGCATCACAGCGGGGATTACAGTGGGCCTCAGGTACTCAAGGATCCCACTCTCATGCTGTTTGATTAGCCAGCTCCTGCTCTTGAGGCTGTGCTTCTTCCTTTCCAGACACTCAGACACCTCTCCCTTAATGTGAGAGTCCCAGAAACAACTGGGATGAACACCTTTTAGCCTGGATGAGCTTCAGGCTGTCTTCTGATGAGCTGGCTCTTTGAGGAGAGGAGGAATCTACAGGAATGCTTTCTGCTCTTCACTGAAACAGCTTCTTTCAGCTCTGCCTGTGCCACTGTTGAGAGGTGAGCTGGCTGTGAACATACCAGGTATGGTCCTCGTAGCAGCACTGTGCACTCTGGAGAATACTCAGACAACTTGTGCAGCTTCTGCTTCATGCTGCTGGCTTGGAGGCTGCCTGTGCTGCCCTGAAGCTGCCCTGCTCTTGACTTGAACCCCTCACCAGCTCTCCCCTGAAAAACCAAACTCATGCCCTCGTTTTTCCAGGCTGAGGAGCAGCCCTCAAACAGCACAAAGTAGCATAGTGGAGTCAGTAACTTCCACTGTACTCAGTGCTTAGCTCATGGTTGGAGCTTAAAAACAAAGTGCAATGGTTTAATGGGGGAAGGGGTCAGGTCCCCAGTGCTGCAAAGCAGCGTAGGGTTCTAAAGCAGATTTACCCCCTGCAAGTTTGTGGTGTGCTGTCAGATCAAAGCTGTTGAACCTAGAGCAGATTTTCCAGGTGGGGAGATGTAGTGCAAATCAAACTATAAGAAGCAGTAACAAGTGACTCAAATTATCCAGGTTAATCCAGGAAAGCTTATAGAACAAAGCCTGTACATATCCTCTACACAGGTAACAGGCTGAACACTGAGAGAACTCAGTGAAAAATATTTATTTCTTTATGCTGCTGCTGCCAATCAGCTATAATATGAATATATGTTTTTTAAATAAAAGATTGCAAAAATAAATGTTCAAAGCTAACAAAGAGCGTCTGCACCAGTATGCATTCTAGCTTACTATTAAATTACAAGTTCCCATGACATGAACAATGGACTTGGCAAGGTTTAGCATAAGATAACAGGCACCAAAGCTCAGGGGTTATTTGTCCATCACTGGAAAAAATGCACCAAAGAGCTATAGATAATGGCCTTCAGCTAGAAAGCAGGCAGGAGTGAATTCAGGCCAAGGCTCTGGCCTGGCAGTTCCAGCTGCTCTGTTTGCATTCTGACATGAAAAAAAAAAGGAGAGATTCCACTGCCCATCACATTCACTTCTTGTGGAGCAGCTCCTAAACTGCGTACTCCCAGCATGGACAGAAAGAGGATGCTTCAAAGCACAGTGAAGGGCAGCAGTCTCAGTGTTTTATCTCAGTGTTTTCCAAGGTCAACTTCCTGTAACTATTTGTCAGCACCAAAACAAAACTTAAACAGGCAAAGTTACATTCAATAGAAAACTTTCTCCCAGGAATGGGATACATAAAATAGCAAAACTTTATAGCACATAAAATACTGTACATATTTCCCTGCTCCCAACTGCAGCCCTGTGTTTTCAGGAGACACCAGCAAAACCTGCATTTTGTTGTTTAAACTGAAACAATGCAACAAAACAACTAGAAATATTAGAGAACTTGGCGTGCCCTAGGAGGATGGATTTATGTTCAGTTAGGTAAACAACAATGAGCTTGGAAGAAGGAGAAAGCAGCTCTGAACTGCTTTTCCAAGTGCTGAAAGATTTAGGCAAGGAACTGCCTAGCTTAGGTTCACAGTTGAAACGCAGGGAACTTGGCCTTGGTTGGCACCAGCAAGTCAGCAAGAAAGTAAATTGTTCCAGCCATTCCTGAGAACGAGAAAAAACAAAGTGCTTCAGAGAGATTCCATTTGGTCATCAGAGTTATCAGTTACTCAGGGAGAGAATGCATCATAAAGATGGAAGACAGGAAAATGTATTCAGAAGGAGCTACATCATTGCTAATGTCTGAGCCTGTAATTCCCAACCAGCTTAGGCTCTTCAGTAGGGAGAGCATTTTCAAATCAGTCAAATGTTGGAAAACTACCTGGGAAAGTATGATGATTTTTCCCACTTCCAGCCCCCTTCCTTCTTCTTCACCTGTCTACAGACTTAAAAATCTTGGCAAATGTCTTGGCAGAACTCTCAGTCATGTTGCATTGCCTCAGATCCTCGCTTTGTGTCTGGCTCTTGCTCCTTGGTGTGCCCCAAAGCTAGGGAGATTTATGTTAGCTAAGGAAGCAGTTCTTTTAGCACTACCTACTGATGGCAGATTTTGGGGGAGTCAACGAGCCCTACAAAAGGGACCCTGCTTGCTCTGCACTCATCTTTGAAATGCAACTGGAAAGCCTATGCAGGATTTTAATCCTTAAAAATGCGTGGAGATTGAAGAGCCAGGCTGCAAATTACCTGAAGGCAGACTTGGGCCTGTAAAATCATTCCCATAAGATGTGTGCAGAATCTGTGCTGGAGGCTCAAGAGGATAAGATGCTCCAAGTGGAGCCACTGGCCTGTTACAGGAACACTGCTTCTGGGAAAGGGTAAAAAGAGCAAGGGCTATTTCCCTTCAGTTCTTTGTGCTGAGTTCTGCAAAGGGTGCAGTGGAGCATTTTCCTCAGTGCTGAGCTGGCTCATATTCAGGAGCTGAACGCATGCTTAGGAATGGAGGTTTACCTTCAAAGAGAGAGAACGGTGTGTCTGGAGTCCGACAGCCGTGCTGACCATAGCTTAAACACCACTCTGCAAACTAGGAAGGAAAAGGAATAGCATTCAGATTTCATTAGAGAAGCATCTTGAGATAAATACCACCTTCAACCTCATACCATCCCTTTGCAGAACAAAGCTTCTGCAAAATATTCCTTCTGTGCAGGCTGTCATGCAGCGACTGCCCTGCTCAGGGACTGTGCTGGTGAAGCTGGTTAGAGCTAGCTCCCTCTTTACCACAGTAGAAATCAAGTTTCAAAGGAGCAAGTTGCACTGCAAAGAAGCAGAAGAGAATAATCCTCTCTCCTCTCACACAGGTTCTTACCTTGCAGGCCCTGTACAGGTATTTCATGTTCTGAGTGAGGTTGTACAGTGCTAGGAAACCATAGGCATTGCCAGCAGTCCCGTGGCAGAGCCCGTAGCCTTTCTTCAATAACCCGTACTGCCAGATCACTTCTGCACACTGCAGGGCATCGTTCAGGTACTGCTGTTCCCCAAACACCTGGAGAGACAAGAAACATCCCCCCATGCTGAAGAGATTTCCTCACACAGAGAGCATCCCCATGTGAGTGAGGGGGCTTGGGTTAATTAGCTGCTCATGTCGTCTTAATACTGTGACTCTGCTTTCAAAAGAGGATGTTTTTGATGGGATGAATGGGCTGTATGACCATTACTTAACACACAACTAGCTATTAGCATTATCACCTGCAACAAGACACCCCTGAGAAGGCTGATGAGGATTTTCAGAAGTAATTTTTTAAAACACAATTTAATAATTAAAAAAATATATATTTTTTTAACTTTCTGTTTCAGTCATTGGTCCCACAGGGTGATTTAATTTTAACAGGACAGCCTGATTTTAGGCATTGGGGTCCCAACAGCATTTTCTCCTTGATGAAGTTCCACATGTAGGGGTCACCAAAAGATATCTGCAAGATTTCTGGTACCTTGTAGGCCTGGAGCAGCATGTAGATAATGCCTGGTGCCCCGTGGCACCAATGGACAAGCAGGTCTCTGGTGTCATCGATGCAGGGAGGGTAATTGCCTGATGGGAATTTGAGCTGGCAGACGTAGTCCACGCTGGGTTTGACTGCGTTGTGCAGCTTTACTTGGCTCACTCCGAGGCCAGGCTAAGAGACAAAGTGTTAAAAATAGGAGAATTACCACTGTGTCTCTCCCTAACAGGCCCAAGGTCTGCCTGAAAGAAACAAAGTCAATTAT